CCCCCCCCCCCCCCCCCCCCCCCCCTGAAACCCCCGCGGAGCGCCGCGCTGCTGAAACCCCCGTCCCCCATGGAGCGCTGTGTTGCCGAAACCCCCACCGAGCGCCACGCCGCTGAACATCCCCGAGCGCCGCACTGCCGAACACCCCCCCCCCCGCGGAGCACCACCAAACACCCCCGCCGAGCGCCGCACTGGCGAACCCCTCCCCACGGAGCACCGCCGAACACCCCACGCCCAGCGCTGCACCGCCGGAACACCTCCCCCGCCGAGCGCTGCGCTGCCCCCCGCCACCCCAAGATTGGCCGCCCCTTACCAGGTGCCGCCCCAAGCACGTGCTTGGTTGGCTGGTGCCTGGAGCCGGCCCTGAGCCTATGAGAAAGAAAGAGACAATAGCTACATACCCAAAAGTCTCAAGTGCGTTTACATAAGCTATACTGAAGACTGCAGCTGGAAAGGCAGTTTTGGACAACTGAAATAGTTTCTGGTGTTTTATTATTTCAGAAACACTTTGCTTACTCTATGCAATTTAAGCATAATTTTCTAGATACATATTTTGTTTTTAATCAATTTAAAAATTCAGAATTTTTCTTCAAAGCATTTTAGTCCAAACTTGCCTCTTAGTTCAAAGATTAACAGTTGAAGCAAACCAGTATTACTCATTTCTCTCCATCTCTAGATGCATTATTTAACTTCTCAACAGAAATTGTGGGGACATAACCCAACAGAAAACTGAGAAAGCAAAAACAGATGGATCATTTTCTGTGTGTATTACGAACATGCTCATTCCCAGGACCTTTCATAATTGTCCATCTCTCCACAATTTCTATGACTCTTTTACAGGTAATTTTCATACTTCACCTTAACAAAGAAGCCAGCCTTAACAAAGCTCTTTAGCTGAAAGAAGACAAACAACATATATAATGCCAGAAGCCTACCACTGAAAAGTTCTCAACTGCCCTATCAGAGCGGGAGGAAGTTAAATAATAATAGGCACATACAGGAAGTGGGCTGTTTCATTTTCATACTGAAACTTAAGTTTAAGAAATAGGATTTGGGGAGGAGTGGGAGATAAAATAAGAGGATCCAAAGTCTGTGGAAGTTACTAAAATTGTACAGCTTGAATTTCAGTAGATTGAGTGATTCTACAAAGGAGAATTTTACAGTCTTAACTACTCCATTGGGTCAGTATTCATGTACTTTCATAGGTGAGTTCCTGAAGACAGAGCAACAGTTCACTGAGTGCTCAATATGTACCCAAACAACATCAGCTGGGGGTTTTGCTGTTTGAGTTTGGCTAGGGAGAATACACTTGCAACACGCTACTCAGTAACATTTCCTGTTTGAACGTTTTGGTGCTCTCCCTTGGTAAATGACAGTTCTGCTCATGTGGTAAAGTTTGCTCCTCTGCCAATCATGACCTTGCCTGTGTCACTTTCAAAGCCAGGCACTCATCTCCTCCATGACAGGACTTTTTGCCCCCATCTCATCAATTTAGAGTAAATCAACATACAAATAAGTCTGGATATCCAGGCTTGTCTGAGACACTTTATATACTAGATATTAAACCAATTCCTCCTGGAGTTCCTTCTGGCACTGCCTAGAACAGGCATTCAGGAGCAGGAGGGGACATATTATATTGAAAGGATGCATGGTCTAGCAATTAAGGCACAGGACTGGGAGTCAGGATATCTGGTGTGCATTCCCAGCTCTGGCCGGACTTACTTTTTGTGTGACCTTGGTAAGTGCAAAGTAAATAATAAGAACTCAGCCTGCCAGTGACCTCTAAAGGGCAGTGATGGGGACTGTCCTGTTGCATAATTTGATACTAGACAATGTCCCCACCACACACTCCCTGTGCGTGCGAGACACAGGCCTGGCGATTTCAAAGGCGCTCGGGAAGAGTGTTTAGATGGCTATTTGTAAGGCAAATATTCCTGTAGCAGCTGGGCACGATACAGGTGGTTCAGATCTGGAGCAAACACTATTTCCAGATAACAATCCTTATTGAATCCCGACTCCCAAAGAGCTTTTTACAGCTGCCTCCCCCCGATCTCCTTGGCCAGGCGCAGGGAGGGGGGCGCGCTCAAGCAGCAGCCGGAACTCGCCCAAGGTCACACCGCCAGCCAGTGGCGAAGCCAGGAACAACCCCTCGGCGGCTCTCTGGATTCCCAGCCTGCTTCGGGCACCGGACACCATCACCCCGAGCCGGGGTCTCCCTCACCCCTCGCACCGCCCCAGCCGCCTGGATCAGGGTTGGGGGCTGCTCCGGCTGACTCCCAGCGTGGGGCCAGCAGAGCCCCGCCGGCCGGGAACAGGGGACCCCGGGGGGGGCGGCTACCTCCAACACGACGCGCCCCAGGGGCTGGTTGTCGGCTCCCACGTCCAGGTAGACCAGCGGGTTCCGCGGGCTGGCGCTGCTGCAGCCCCGGCTCCGGGCGGCCCGCGGGCAGGCGAGCTGCGGCGGGCGCAGCAGGAGCAGGCGGCGGGCGGAGCTCAGCGCGGACATGCTGGCGCGGCGGAGCAGTGCGCACGCGGCCGGCTCTCTGCGCTGCGAAAGGGGGCGGGCGGGGCCGCAAAACACTGCGGGGCCGCTACTGCGGCGCTTTTTATGGCCTCCGCCGGGAGCCTCCGCAGCGCCTCTAGGGGTGGAAAGCGCCAGGAGGAGGCGGCCAGGTGAGGTGTCGCGCGCCAGCTGCCCGGGGCACGGGCCAGGCCGGTGCTGCAGGGAGCCAGAGGCAGGGAAGAGGCAGGTAGGAAAAGGGTGGGGGGAACCAGGGAGAGATGGGCAGCTGGGAAAACACGGCTCTTGCCAGTCTGTGACAGCCCTTGCCTTGCTGCCTCAGCACCTGCTTGCCCAGCACCCAGCCTGAACAACAGCCCTATCCTGGACTGACCCCTGACACCCTGGGCTAGTAACTAATACATGATTCAGACTTGACAGCGCAACTGTTTAGATCTGAGATTCCCACACAGAGGTGCGTGGCAGGCTGGCGGGTCCCATGGTGCTGCCCCTGTCTGCCTCCATCTTTCCAACTGTTAAATCACACCAGACAGTTAAAAATACATTAAATACTTTCCTAATGCTACTTTTCTATGGAAGCAATTGCTAGAATTGCCACCGTCTTAGACCTTTGTGACTAGGAAAGAAGGGGGCGATGAGACAGTCTAGGTATTGAGGTCTGGGTCATGCTATAAAAAAAAAGTTTGAGAACCTCAGAGTGAGACTGTCGGTGTTTTGGAACAAAGAATATGTCGGTATTCTGTCAGAACTGGGTGTACAACTCAGGGCCATAAACCGACCATAATTCACCTCCGGAAAGAGAACCAGCACCACTTAAAGTGCTCAAACTAGGTTGAGTTTCTGGCTGGTTTCCACATAAAGGGGCATTGCCAAACTGAAATTTAGGGCCTGGTTCTCATTGCCATACACCTTTTTCTTGACCATTTCTGTCATGATCACAGGAGATGTTTAATTTCTTACCATACATACATAACTACATTCTTAAGAGTTGCCACTTTTAGAAGGGTGATTCATCATATTAGTTAAAAAAACTGAATAGCCATCACCATTAAGTGTTAAGAAGGGAATGAATAGACTCTGCCAACTAACACCCCAATTCTGCAATTGACGGCCCACCAACATGCAGGGTCAGGGCCTAAACTAGTTTGGCTGACCCAACATGTTTATAATAATAATTATTTGTAGCATGCCCAAAAGTGGGATACGCCCTCAGCTATTTTTTATTTATTTATTTAATTTTTGTTGGCAAACTTCCCCAGGAGGTGCTTTAACTTTGACATGCAATGACCAGCTCAAAGACAGGGTACTACTGTCTTCTGAGACTATGCACAAGGGTGAAAGTGGATTTTGAGAGAGTTGGCAATCTACCCACTAAGAGCTAAATAGAGGCCATCAACTAATTTCCCGAGTCCCAGAACAACCATCCGATGAGACACACACTTGGAGCACTAAGATGTGAAATGCAATTAAATTGGTTATTACCACATGCATTGGGTAGTGTGATGAGCCACAAGGTCAGAGAAGAAAAGTAATTATCTACCCATGGTGTACAGCAACCCTTTACAAATGCATTGACTGGAACATATTATTACCCATTATGAAACAGTATTTATAAATAGAAATAAGTAAAACAGTCACACCCAGGTGTGTAATGTGACTCTGACATCACAGACATCCAGAGGTGCCCAGGATACTAAAGTGCTTTCCTAATCCTATGTAGTTTCCTGTTGTTACCTAAGAGACTATTACAATGATACAGTATGTCATTATACCATGTCATGGTGCGCCAGGTTATGCTGGTTTATAAAGGAAAGTTGTGTTTCTGTTTAGTAAGATTAACAATTTACAAAATATCAAAAAGCCACAGTCTGGCAGCTTAGTTGCAGTTCCTCACCCTAAATTAGTAACATTTAGTTCAACAATATTTACTAATACATTACTAACTCTTTTTTAGCAAATTTCAGCCATTATTTTAGAATTATTCCCATTGAGTTTCCGTATTCCGTATTTGCCAAAATTTTCAAAATCTCCTGCTACTACAAGCTCTTTTGGGACTCTGTTGTGCTCTGTTGAAATCAAAGGCAACATTTCCAATAATTCTCACTGGTAGCAGGATGCGGCCTTTAGTAGATCATTCCCCCCTTTCTTTTTCTCTTTTTAAAAACATTGCAGTGCAGTTTCTATAAAGGGAAACAGTAATTCTCAGACCTGCTAGAGTTCTTTGAAAAAATTAATAAAGTAACAGCTAAAGATGACTTGATTGACATAATTTACCTGAATTTTCAAAAAGCTGTCAACAAAGTTTCTTTCAAAGTCATTCTGAAGAAAAAGATAACTATGGGATAAGTGGCAAGGATACAATATAAAACTATGAAGATTATGAGAAATCCTTTATGAGCACATTTGGTCAAATTCATCCCTGGTTCACTGCCAGTTTCTTCAAGGCATGTATTCCCAGATACCATCGTATAATGTAAAGTAAGTGAAGGGGCACCAGAGTGAATTTGGCTCATTGGGTCAAATGCAATACTGTATGCTAAGTCAACAGTTGACCTCCTTATGGAATGGCAGGTAAGTAAACTCCATACTCATCCTCCATAAGACAAGCCATACTAGGTTAGACCAATTGTCCATCTAGCCCAATATCCTGTCTTCCAGTAGTGGCCAATGCCAGATGCTTCAAAGGGAATGAAAAGAACAGGGCAATTATCAAGCGATCCATCCTCTGTCATCCAGTCCCAGCCTCTGACAATCAGAAGCTTAGGGACACCCAGATCATGGGATTGCATCCAGAACCATCTTTTAGTGTTGGCCTTCACAGCATCCCCTGGCAAGGAGATGATTGACTATGTGTTGTGTGAAGAAGTACTGTCTTTTTTTTTTGTTTTAAACCTGCTGCCTATTAATTTCATGGGGTGATCCCTGGTTGTTATGTTATGTAAAGGGGTAAACAGCACTTCCTTATTCATTTTCTCCACACAATTTATGATTTTGTAGACCTCTGTCATATCCCCCCCTCATTTGTTTCTTTTCTAAGCAGAACAGGCCCAGTCTTTTTCATCTCTTTTCCTATTGAAGCTGTTCCATACCCTTAATTTTTTTTCCTTCTCTGTACCTTTTCCATTTCTAATATATCTTTTTTGTGATGTGGTGACCAGAAGTGCATGCAGTATTCAAGATATGGTCGTACCATGTAGTGGCAGTATGATATTTTCTGTCTTATTATCAATCCCTTTCCAAACTTTGCCTTTATCAACGTTGAATTTCATCTGTCCTTTTGTTGCCCTGTCACCAAGTTTTGTGAGATCCCTTTGTAATCTTCACAGTCTGCCTTGGACTTTACTACCTTGAGTAATTTTGTATCTGCAAACTTTGCCACCTCAGTGTTTGCCCCTTTTTTCACATCATTTCTGAATATGTTAAACAGCACTGATCCTTGTGGGACCCTGCTATTCACCTCTCCCTACTCTGAAAATTGACCATTTATTCCTATCCTTTGCTTCATATCTTAACCAGTTACTGATCCATGAAAGGGCCTTCCCTTATTCTACGACTGCTCAGTTGGCTTAAGAGCCTTTTGAATGGGACCTTGTTTAAGGTTTTCTGAAAGGTCAAGTACACTATATCCACTGGATCACTCTTGTCCACATGTTTGTTGACCTCTCAAAGAATTCTAATAGATTGGTGAGGCATGATTTCCTTAACAAATCATGTTCATCTAGGTGGTTGATAATTCTGTTCTTTATTATAGTTTCAACCAATTTGCCTGGTACTGCAGTTAGACTTACCAGCCTGTAATTGTCAGGATTGCCTCTGGGGTCTTCGTTTAAAATTGGCATCACATTAGCTATTTCCAGTCATCTGGTACAGAAGCTGATTTAAGTGATAGGTTACATACCACAGTTAGTAGATCTGCAATATCATATTTGAGTTCTATTGAACTCGTGGATGAATACCATCTGGTCCTGGTGACTTTACTGTTCAACTTATCAATTTGCTCCAAAACCTCCTCTATTGATACCTCAGTCTGAGACAGTTCCTCAGATTTGTCACCTCCCTTATTAGAAACACAGCAGATGTTTGCAGGTGGCATCAGGTCTGGTTATGAGAGGTTCTGAGTGCTGGCCCCAACACCTATTATATACAGTGATTGGACCACACACCATTTGGACTTAGTCTACCACCCTGGACCCATTTTTGACACTCAGCGGTAACCCATCAGCAAGAAAATTTTAATTGCTGCCACATGTTAGGCATATGTGTGGTGGTTATCACCAAGGTGGATATAGAACTGGAAATTATGCAGTTTTTCTTTATCACCTAATGTTTAAATATTATTGAGCACTGTAGTGAGGCGGCCTGGCTCCCGGCTGCCCCTGCGAGGGACGAGCCAGAACAGCCGCCAGAGTGGATGGAGTCACCGCCGCCTGTCCCCGCCCCCCAGAAGTCAAGGGGCGGGACAGGAAGTATAAAGGCTCAGCCCCAGCGCTCAGTTGGCTGCCGGCCGCGGGAGAGGACAGACGCTGGTGCCCGAGCAGGACTGGCCGAGTCTGCCCCGAGCCCGGTATCCTGAGGAGGACTGGCCAAGCCTGCCCCGAGCCCGGTATCCTGAGCAGGACTGGCCGAGTCTGCCCCGAGCCCAGTATCCTGAGCAGGACTGGCCGAGTCTGCCCCGAGCCCGGTATCCTGAGGAGGACTGGCCAAGCCTGCCCCGAGCCCAGTATCCTGAGGAGGACTGGCCGAGCCGGCCCCGAGCCCGGTGTCCCGAGGAGCGGCCTGAGCTTCCCCCCGCCGAGGGTCCGGAGGAGCCACCCAACCTACCCAGCGCTCAGTGCCCTGAGGAGCCCATGGTCTGGGACACGGTGGAGGAGACTGAGGACATGCAGGTACCCATGGAGGGGGAGATTGGAAGTGGCCCGGGGATAACAGACCCCGAGCCCATGTCAGTGTGTTGCGGTCAGGATCCCCACTGACCCAGCGGCAGACGGACTGCTGCTGTTAGGGCCCCAGGCTGGGACGCAGTGGAGTGGGAGGGCCTGCGTCCCCCCCTGCCACCCAACTCGTGGGTGGCAGTCTCCCCCTCCCCAGGCCT